CCAGAAAAAACCTGATGCCAAGACACACAGACACCTCCCAGCCCACCAGGCTCACAGATGCTGGAAGGAGATGGGGGCCTCCCCAGAGCCGAAAAAGAAAGCTTTCTCGAGCTGGTGCCTGGATTTCAATGTCCAGCCCCCTTACTGAAGAGAACACATTGTGTTAAAGACATCCACTTGTACCGTCTGTCACCACAGTGCTAGAGAACTGAGCAGACGGGCTAATTCCCTCTGTACCTGGCGGCCCAGCTGCCCCAGCCCCAGCAGTGTGCACACCTGTGTGAGAACCTGGACCAGAGGGAATGATGTGGAGCAGCCCCCTGGCAGGTGCTGGGGGCCGGATGATCTGGAGCGACCTCTGCCTTTTCCGAGCCCCAAGGTCCTTCTGATGAAGTTGGGGTACAGAACCTCTCCACAGGAAGAATCTAAAAGGACACACCGGGTCTTTTCTACTATTGTTCCTGACTTAGGGTTAGGCTGGGCCAGGAACCCCACAGCCTGATCAAATTAGTATCCCCTAGAATCTCAAGGGCACAAGGCCAGGGCTGAGCCACAGTGCTGCCATACAGGGGAGAGATCTGTCCAGAAGAGTGGACAGTCCATGTCCATGCTCACACACACACACACACACACACACACACACACACACGTCCCCTGGGCAAGACCCAGAAAGCAACTGTGATGCAGGGTCTCAGGGACCCCCTCAGGGTCTGTATGTCCTGGAGGCATCTTTCTGTCTGTCCAGTCTCGGTTTGGGCCCACCTGAAGGCTGCCCAGGCATCAAAGCCAGGCAGTCAGGGCCCCTCCCATGCCGAGGCTAACTGCTCTGACCCACACAGTGCTAGGAGAGGACAGAGCCCGAGTCTTGCAGGTCCTGTCAGGCTGACAGAAGGTTCTAGAAATTACGCCGCTGGCTCTACACTGCTCATTCTGTGCGCATGGTGATGAGTGTGTCTGGGGTAGACCATCCCTGTGGAATGCAGAGGGTAATCCACTTGGACAGGAGCCAAAAGGCTAGGATGTCCACCCAAAGGCATTTGGAAGACAGGCCTGGCGGTCAGCCATCAGGGCAGCTGGCCTCTGACATGCGTGGTCAGCACCAGTTAGTTCCATCGGAACTGGTTGTGTTTTCTTTTTCATGAAATAATGGTGACGCTGGAGGCTGAGGGGAACGTCACAGGGAGCAGGTCAGCAAAACCTCCAGAGCCATCTGATGTCACACTCTCCAAAAACAATGCCCAGGAAGCCAGGCCCTGCTCCCCAGCGTACAAGACATGTCTGAGTCTCAGGAGGGTGTAAAAGTCACCCTGGGGAATCCTACCAAACCTGGAGTCCTGACAACTGCACAGACAGGGACTCAAAACCAAGGAGACTGACCACAGGCCGCACTGTCCGGCAGGTCAGCACCCGGAGGCCAACAACCCAATGTGACTAGTCTGGATCCTAATTTGAACTACTGAATGCAGACTGTTGTCGGGAGATGAGGGGAAAGCTGACCGCAGGCCAGCTGGTTAAAGATCACCAGTGTCCAGCAAGCTGATGGGCCTGCCAAACCCAAGGAGGACCTGCAGCATTTGCTGCAAAAGGTCAAGGACACCAGTTTCCAATAAAAGCACAACATCAAGAGAATGAAGATTGTCGCCACTGGGCCAACTGACAGCACCATGATAGATGGAGAAGAGATTAAAGTTGTCAACAATTTCAGCTTGCTCAGGTCCACAATCAACACTTTTGGCACCAGCAGTCAGGAAATCAAAAGACGAGTTGCATTAGGGAAATGTGCTGTCAGAGACCTCTCTGGAGTGCTAAAGTGACATCTCTAGATGTCAGTCTAGAGACTAAGGTGCACCTGATCCAGGACATGGTCTTTGCAATTACTTGCTATGCATCGGAGAGCTGGACAATAAGAATGATACAAGAATTGATGCCATTGAGTCGTGGTGCTGGAGAAGAGCATTGAACATAACCACAGCCTGCCAAGAGAATAGCTCTGCCCAGAGAGGGTGAAACCAAGTTGCTCCCTAGAGGCTAGGACTTTGAAGCTCTGTCTCATGTACTCTGGACATGATGCCATGAGGGACCAGTCCTTGGAGAAGGACATCATGCTCAGAAGGGTGGGAAGACCCTGGATGAGATGGATTGACACAGTGACTGTGGTAATGGGGGCAGGTGTGTCTGAGACAGTCAGACTGGCTCAGGACAGGGCAGAGTTCAGAGCTACTGTACACAGAGTCACTATGAGTCACAATCAACTATGTGGCACATAACAACAACAACAACAACAACAACAACATACCCCGTCTGCCCCCACCCTGTAGGTAAACGAGCAAAGGCCAGGGCTATAAGCAGAGGCCATCTGTGCTGAGCAGGTCCCTACAGATTTGTGAGAGGAAAGGCAGACGTGGCCAGTTTGCAACCAGTGTTTAATCCCTGGGCAGCTTGGACCTGGCCACAGCAGGAGGACAGGCACCACGAGGGTCCGTGAGGACCACACACCAGGTACTTGCCCCTAATAGCAAGTTCGGATGGAGAGAAAGGAGTGGAGAGAAGATGAAACTCCACATCCACAGCGACGCAGGTGCTGGGAGAAAGGGACTCCTTTGCTCCTGTTTGGGTCGTTCTGTTTCCAGAGACACACCCTCAGGCCTGGAAACCCTTGTCTGAGACTTTATCCTGAAAAGGTATTGAAACAGGTCCTATAATTCACTACTGCTTTTCAGTGGATTCTGACTCGCAGCCCTAAAGGGCCAAGTAGAACGGATGAGATTAGTGCATCGTATACCGCAACAGTGTATGTGGTGGTTGTGCTCGGAAATCCACTCCCATCACCGCAAACCCTGTTTATCAGATCCAACCTGGCCCCTCCTGCCCCTTCTCTCAGGTTTCCCGATGCCATAGTCCCGTGTCATCCACTTCATGGATGGTCCTTGTCCTTCAGTGACTGTCCACTTAGCATGACATCCTTCTCCAAGGACTGGCCTCTCCTGACAGCATGCTCAAAGTAGGAGAGACGAAGTTTCATCATCGTAGCCTGGTTGCACTTTACTCAAAATACATCTGTTTGTTCGGGCTGTTGTTGTTGTTGGGTACCATTGAGTCGGAACCAACTCAGAGCTGACCATCCAGTGGGTTTTCAGAGGCAGTAATTGCATGGGATTGGAAGCAGGAGTGGCATCCACTTCCTAAACAACAAGCATCCGGAAACTCTGAACTTTGATAAATGTCAATAGTTGTAGAGCGGTTTCAGGCCTTTTGTTCGTAGGGTCGCTATGAGTCATGCTCGACTCGAAGGCAATCAATAACAACACCACCACAATTGCATGGGAGGAGATTGCCCATTCTCTGCCAGAGAAACTAGTGGATTTGAACCACATACCTTCAAGTTGGCAGCACAGCTCTTTAACAATAGGCCACCAGAGTTCCCTTCTTCTGACAGTCCATGAGATAGTCCATACTCTGTAAGACCATAGCTCTAAGGCATCAATACTTCTGTTGCCCTTAGTCCAGCTTTGACATGCCTGTAAAGTAACTAAAACTACTACAGCTTGGGTCGGGCACACCTTAATCTGCACACTGACATCCTTGCTCTTTAGCACTTAAAAGAGGCCCTGAGTAGAAGCAGATTTTCCCAATGCAGTGAGTGCATCACTTCTAACTGCTGCTTCAATAGGTTTTGCTTGTATAGCCAAGGAAAATTACATCATCGACAATATCAATCTTTTCTGTTTCTTGTGATGTTGTCTAAAATAGCAGATTTTTTAAAAAAATAAAAAAGGACCAGAATTAAGTATGGTTCATCGTAAATCAGGAAACTAGAGTTTTCCAGTGTATTCAGCACAAAATAATAAAAAGGGTGGGTTAAACCGTGAAGCAGATGCAGTTATGAGGCAGACGCACGTGAGACGATATGGACCAGAGCAGGCTAGGTGAGAAGGACACGGACCACTGACAAGAGTTGTTACTGAACGCAAGGGATTCTTTCCATAGTCAATTGCCAAAAAGACAGATTGCAACATCCATCAGCACTTTATTACAGGTCTGAGAGGACAGCAAGATTCCCCTCAAAAACTGCCTCTCCTCTGGGAGTGGCCATTAGGTTCTTATACTAGGGTTAGATACTAACTAACTGACTTAACAAGACACTTTTGTTAGTAAAGTTACAGAATTTCTACATTTGAAAAGAACAGTTCATATAGAAGTACTGGTAAACAGGCCACCTATAGAACTGTTCACATAGCAACAATGAATGAATGGAAATCCAAAACCTCTGTAAATGTTCATTAAAATTAATAAAATAAAATTTTAAAAAACCCAACTGTTCACATACAATCCAGAAAAGCTGTTTATAAAAAGAAATGCTAATCCAGGTAAGGTGCATTTTCCTTCTGGGCAAACAGGCAGATTAAATACAATTTACATATGACGAGAAAAACAGTTTCAAAGAGGTAAATGTTAATCTAGAAAAGATACACTTCCTGTCCTGGTAAACAGAGTTTAAGCTACATGACTAAAGAAAGGGGGGCAGAATTCTAAGGCCCAGTAACTACTTTTCCAGGCTGGAGAAAACCGACCTCAGTTTTATAACTATTAACTATAGTTCTGTAATTGAGAATTTATTCTAGAATTTATATTTAATTATATTTCTAATTTATCTTTCGATAATTTCTGTATCTATCATTGATAATTTATTAATACTGCCCCATCACAGTGACCGGTCAGAGTCTATTGTACCTGATGCCTTTGAAGTGGGGTGAGCTGAGTGCTCTGGAAGGGGGAGACTCCTGCAGATGCTCTGTGGGGTGCAGATGTGAGCTCAGGTCTCCCAGAGCCCCGCCCCGCCCCCCCCCCAGGCTGTGAGCACCCACTTTCACCTGCTGCAACTCACAGGTGGAGCTGGGCACACCCTGGGTGTCCTGTGTCCCCGTAGGTGGTGCCCGGGAGGTGAATGAAGCCGCTGGCCCTGCGGTCCGGACGCGCAGGCTGCACGGCTCCCGTGGCGGGCTGTTGATGGAGGAGGGGGCGGATGACAGCCGGGACTGTGGTCATCACCGGCGGGATCTTGGCCACCGTGATCTTGCTGTGCATCATTGCAGTGCTGTGCTACTGCCGGCTGCAGGTACGGGGAGGGGCGGCAAGGCCACCGGGGAGGAGTGCTGCACCCCGAGTCCCCACCGAGCACCCGCCTGGCCTGCAGCGAGGAGGCAGAGGCCCAGAGAGGGCGGGAGGCTGAGTGGCAAGGGGAGCACAGGGCACCACTGTCTACACCCCAGCCCTTGCCTGAATGCCCATGTCTTCTGGGGAGGGGATGGTGCTTGGACTCGGGTTGGGGAGATCACGGTGGCCAGTCCACGGCGGGCAGGCCACGGC